CTTCTTTAAGGTATTAAATGCGCCTTATATAATGGGTTGAAGGGGCACATGACTGGACCTCGACATGCTAGCCACATGCACGGGGGATCGGAGGTCGAAGGCACTTTTGATACGTCCACGCGCAAAGAGATTCTTGATATGTCTGCCTATGGTGTGATCGAGTGGAGTGATGTCGTCATTTTCGTCCTCTTGCGCCGAAGTCTCCCTTCTCGGGGTTGTGAAAGCGAGCCCATAAGGTTTGGAAATAAATTTCGAGCATAATGCACTAGGCAGAGCGGTGAGTAATCTTAGAAGGAACATCTTGTAATTGAACTCGGGTTGGGTCAGGATTTGACGGGTTGGACCATCTCGAGAAATGGACCATTCGGTCCCCGACGTATATACCGAGAATGTATGCGGATATACCAGTGAAGGATATTCCCCATCAAATACATTTTTGAGAAAAATGGTAATACTTTTGAATCAAAATGTTATACATGGGGTTGGAGAGTTATTTATAAGAAAATGTGTAATACTAATCAGATAAATTGATTTATTATTACTTATAAGGGAAAAATGTAATACTTACGAGGAAAAGTGTAATACCAATGATGGATAAACTGATTGTTACTTATGAGAAAGAATGTAATATTTTTTAGGAAAAATGTGATACTTTATTTTTAAATAAAAATGTAATATTTAGGCTCTTCAAAAAATATATATAATATTTAGGGGTTGAAGAGTTACTTATAATACTAATGAGAATCCGTAAGACAATCTCATAGGAGTTTTTGTCTTACTTTTTATAATTTAATTTTTCTAAAATAAAAGAATGGGCGTTTTTTTTTTTTTTTTTTTTTTTTTTTTTTTTTTTTTTTTTTTAAATTGAATTGGTTTGAAATTATACTCCCTAAATGTTTACCATTTTTTTTAATAAGACATTAAGGGTCCGTTTGGAAATCTGAAAAATATTTTCCTGAAAATGATTTTCAGAAAATTACTTATTCTTAAGAAAATAATTTAATTTGCTAATGTTTGATTGAATGTCAGAAAATTATCTTTTTTGTTTGGTTGAAAATTAAGAAATTGTATTTTTTCTATTTGGTTCATTTTCTTGAAAATGATCGAACATATTATTTGCTATAATAATAATAATAATAATAATAATAATAATAATAATAATAATAATAATAACAACAACAACAACAACAACAATAATAATGTGAGCATATAGCCATTAACGTGCAATCCAACTATTAGCTTAACCTTTTAGTTGAGATGGAGCACATGCTTCAATTTGGTATCAGAGCTAGACCAAAGGTCATGGGTCCGAATCTTAGCGCCACTCATAAGCGACTACGGTTTACCGGTCCACGTGTTGGTTGTGGTTGTGGAAAATGTCTTTGGACTAAAAGTTGAAGAAGACATTTTAGTTAAATTGAGTCTTTTTTCTATTGATCAGAATTTCATTTCATACTTTATTTTCGTCAATACCCAACACAGAAAAATTTTAAAAATAACTTTGGGGACTAATTTTTTGAATTTCCAAACGAATTCTAAATGAAAAGGTATTATAGAGTTTTCTTATATATAACTCATAATTGTAGTGAATTTTATCCAAAATTTATCATAGTAATTAAGCACTCAAATATATTGTTCTAGCCTGCAGAGCTCATTTTTGGATTTTGGTTTGCACTCTCTATGCGTGAGGTGGAATTTTTTAAATTTTAACAATACATTTCAATTTCTTAAAATATTAACATGTATTTGTACTAGTGCAAACAACATACTTTTTTACTATGGGGCAAATGTTTTTTTTTTTTTTTTTTTTTCCTAAAAACAACCCTCAAAACGGATATATATTAAATCGAAATAAAGTCAGGGGGACAGAATCCCTAAACAAATCGTTAGCGTGAGAATAGACTGTTGTAGTTAAGAAATGAGCTAAAGTATTAGAAGACCTTGGAACAAAATGCAATGAGCAAACAGAAAATGCCTACACTCAGTAACAACGATACCAATATAGGACCTAAAAGTCGCAGGAAATGTCAGATTGTGAACAAGACTGGAACAATCCTTTAAAAGCAAATGTTCTTTAAAAGCCTTTAAAAGCTTTGTTTTTTTCAAATTTTATAGGTACACTTTAAAAACCAATTTCTTAATTCAATTCACTCATTATTCATTTGACGTAATTCAAATCATAATGAATCCACTTAAAATGTTATTTTTACTAATTAAATTTGTCGAATGATAATTACTTTTTTTTTTAGTACTATTGACTCTGTTATTCAAACTTGTGAACAGGAGTTTAAACTTGTGACCTCCTATTTGAGAAAGTCACACAATTATGCTGCTTGATCACAAGTTTTTTAGTTCGTATGATATAATTACTTAATACGTGATATTTGAGTAATTATGTATATACGAACGTGAACTTTTGCACTAAAATGGTCTTGGAGAGTAATAATTGATTGGTTGACTTAGAACCAAAGTGTTCAACTTTACGAGGTAGAGAAAACGTGGAGAATCTTTGGTTGAACGAAAGAAATATTATTGCTTATAACTTCAATTGATTTGGAAGGAGGATCCAGCTGTTTTGCTATTTCAATTCTTTTTTATGCTAATTATCATTACCATAATAAAAAAAAGATGCTGCAACATAAATACGCAATGCATCAAATAGGATTATGTCATCAAATGCATCATATCACTTCAAAATGTACCATACTAAAACTATAATGGTATATGGTTTGTCCTTCGTAATCACAAAAGTTTGATTTTTTTTTTTTTTTGAGTTAGACAATTAGTCAGTTATGGACAGGCTAAATTAGTTTACCTTCTTATGTTCTTTGCTAAATAGGGTCATAAGACAGACTTCACTCAAAGTGCACGTTCAAATAGCTGATGCATGCTTTCCCGCAAATTTAAAATATATGATTTACAATAGCAAATTAGTCTTTGATATGGAAGATAACTTGCCCATTATGTACTGTATTTTGAGAAGTAGTTAGTAGAGAAGAAAGGGTGTGCACGAGTTAGGGTTAATTATATCTATTATTCGAATTACTCTTATAATTTCACAATTCATCACTTTATCTTGTGAGTGTAAAATTTAAAAATTCACATACGCTCCATTGAATGCGAATACTCAAAGCAGTCACCTACTATTATTATTATTATTATTATTATTATTATTATTATTATTATTATTATTATAAATTTAGAAAAGTTTTTCCGATCTGATGTATCTTCTCGACATGCTATTGTTTGTTGCAATTTTTTGACATATTCTCAACGAATTATCAAAATTTTGAAAAAATTTCAAAATACCGGAATATTGGAACATTGAAATTTTTGACATATTAGAATGTTTTTAAAACAATTTTTTATGTATTATAACATTGAAAAAAATAAAAGAAATATTATAAAAGTTTCACTTAGAATTATTTCCCACATAGTGATCAACCTATGCTATGCCAAAAAGTTTTTGGTAAGAGGCATATTAGGATGAGTTACACCATTGCCAATCTCTCACTTCACCACCACTTAAGTCTTCAAATCTAGTCATCATCCATCACCACCATGACTCCAACTTGTCATTAGAAACAAAAATACAACCAAAAAAGAAAAAGAAAAAGAAAAAGAAAAAAAAAAAAAAACTAGGGCTAAAGTTCTTCAAACTTTTAGTCAGATCACGAGATTCATATCCACTCATTTGTCATCACCATGACTCCAACCAAGTACCAACTTTTCATTAGAAGCCAAAGTACAAAGGAAAAAAAATTTACATTAAATAGAAGAAAGCTCTTTGAACGGCTTGTTAGATCACAACTAAATCAATTTGAACAAAAAAAAAAAAAAAAAAAAAAAAAGGGCTAAAGTTCTTCAAACTTCTTGTCAGATCACGAGATTCATATCCACTCATTTGTCACCACCATGACTCCAACCAAGTACCAACTTTTCATTAGAAGTCAAAGTACAAAGGAAAAAAAAAAATACATTAAATAGAAGAAAGCTCTTTGAACGACTTGTTAGATCACAACTAAATCAATTTGAACAAAAAAAAAAAAAAAAAAAAAAAAAAAACTAGGGCTAAAGTTCTTCAAACTTCTTGTCAGATCACGAAATTCATATCCACTCATTTGTCGCCACTATGACTCCAACCAAGTACCAACTTTTCATTAGAAGCCAAAGTACAAAGGAAAAAAAAATTACATTAAAAAGAAGAAAGCTCTTTGAACGGCTTGTTAGATCACAACTAAATAAATTTGAACCAAAAAAAGAAAAAAAAAAAAAAAAAAAAAAAAAAAAGACAAAGACAAAGACAAAAACACTTTATTCCTAATTAGTATTACATTTTTCAGTATAAGTATTACATTCTCATATTGATCTAACTCGACTCGATCCGTCTTATGAATAAAGATCCGTGAAACAGTGTCACACAAGTGTGACGACCCTAGTTAAAAATATATCAATTGTTGGTTAAGTGAAGAAATATAGTAGTGGAAAACTGGAAATGATATTGCAGCAATTATGTAGAATAAAGGTCATATGAGAACCAACCTTTCCATGAGTCCATGAGAACCAATCTCATCCATTAAAAATATAGATCTAGGGATGAAATTAACTCGGGGACTAAAAAAACACATGTGCATATTAGACATTATGATGTGTGCATATTAAGCATGTCCATATGTTGCACACAGCATATGCTTAATATGCACACATTATAATGTCATTTATGGACACACGCGTTTTTAATCCCAATTAATCTCATCCATAGATCTATTTTATTAGTGGATGAGATTGGTTCACATGGACTCGTGGGGAGATTGGTTCTCATAGGACCTCACCCTCTACACACACACACACACACCATTAGCTATGCAAAAAGCACCAATAGTGCTATGAAATGCACAACAAATAAATGCACCACAAAATGCACCATTAGGTACACAATAACGCACTGCATAGTGTTCGAAAACGCACCATTTGATGTGGTGATGTATGGTGCATTTTTTTTTTTTTTGATGTGTGGTGATTTTTGTGGTGCATTGGTGCATTTCATTGTTGTGCGTTTCGTAACACTATTGGTGCGTTTTTGTATATCTAATGGTGCGATCGCACCAGCTGCATGTTAAGACATAGCCGCACTGGAACTTGACTATATATATATATATATATATATATATATATATATATATATATATATATATATATATATATATATATATATACTAATAAGAGCCCAAGAGAGTTAGGCCTATAATGGGTAGAAAAAATGGCGGTCACAGATTTTAATCAAATGAATGGCCCAGATTGATTAAAAGATTGATCAGATTTAAATTTTACACTAAAATTTCCTAAAATACCCACACATCGTTACTAATTCCGTTAAAATTTTAAGAATTGCCGTTAGTTCACCGTTAACTTACTCATTGATTTCAATAAAAAAAAAAAGATCTTAGGTTCGAACCTCATCCAAATCAAAGTTGGCATAATTTACTCTTATTAAATAATATAAATAATAATTTAGTAGTTACAACAAAAAATAATACATATGCATTTCTTTAATTTAGAATTATGTGTCCACAATGCCTTTATTCAAAAAAAAAAAAAATTCATTATCAATAAATTAAATAAGAGAAATAATTTTATTATATTATCTACTATACTAATAAGAGCCCAAGAGAGTTAGGCCTATAATGGGTAGAAAAAATGGCGGTCAAATTTTTTAATCAAATAAATGGCTCAGATTGATCAGATTTTAATTTTTCCATAAGATTTCCTAATTTATCCTTAATGAATATGATTTTCCGTTAACTTTTCCATTAAATATTATCTTTTCCGTTAATTTCTGTTAGTTCACCGTTAACTTTCTCATTGATTTCAATAAGAAAGTTCTTAAGTTCGAACCCCATCCCAATCAAAATTGACATAATTAGTACTCTATAAGAAAGGTCTTAGGTTCGAACCCCATCCCAACAAAAAATAATACATATGCATTTCTTTAATTTAGAATTATGTGTCTACAATGTCATTATTCAAAGAAAATTATTCATTATCAATAAATTAAATAAGAGAAAATAATTTCATTAGTTATATTGTATTTATTTTTCTCCAATATAAAAATTCTTTACATTCAAATTCATCAATTGATTATAGTCGCTACATTGTCCCTAGAATGTCTTTATTAAAAAAAATTATTCATTATCAATAAATTCGTTAAGAGAAATAATTTTATTAGTTATATTGTCTTTATATTTCTCCAATGTACTAATTCATTAATTGATTATATTCACTACATTGTCTATTATCTTTTTTGTGCACTATTTTTTAATTAAATATCAAAGTTATAATACAAAGTAATGCTATATATTAATTTACCAAGTATTTTATTAATACCATGAAAAAAATTAAAACAATATAATTAATAAAGCCAATCATATAACTACTCGAGGTATTTGTTGACAACGAAAGTATTCAAATCACACAACAAATTGAAATGAGAACTACTCGCAATGTCCTTGTTTGATAATCAGCAGTTAACGGTTAGCGTTAGCGGATTATATTAGCGAATTTGACCAGCGAATTATATCAATGATTGGTAAAAAGATATTTGAAAAAAATAAATGTTTAGATTAATATGTAAAATGACATGAGGGTATACATATATTTAACAATAATAATAATAATTATAATAATAATAATAATAATAATAATAATAATAATAATAATAATAATAATAATAATAATAATAATAATAATTGTTTTAAAAAATAAAAAAATATAATTAAACCAATCATATTAACTACTTGGGGGATTTATTGAGAAAAAAGAGTATTCAAATCACACAACAAATTGAAGTGGGAAACAATCTCGCAATGTCCTTGTTTGGCAATCAGCAGTTAGCTCTTCAATATTAGTATATATTTAATATTGTATGCCCTAATTTTTATTTGCTCTCCCTTATGTCCCGTATTTGGTTTCAACCATACCTATAAATCTATAATTGACAATTATAATCAATCTTGACTATATTATCTTGCATTTGTAAACTTAGATTTGCTTATTTAAATACGCAAATTTAACATTCAATTATCTATCCATGAACAATTCCAATATAATCTTGCCTTGATATACTTTGAAGTACGTATTTAAAAAAAAAAATTGGGTATTATCCCAATCGCGCAATGCGCGTAAAAAACTAGTATATATATAAGTGTATTCAAATGAGGACAACTATATTATAGAGGATTGTGAGGACATATGTAGTGTGTGCCATTAGTCTGTGTGTCGTGTGCATGACCGAATGTAGTCGTGTGCCACAGTTTGTATGTCGCGTGCATACATTTGTTAATTAATAGAGCCTGGGTTCGAAACCTTGTTTACATGTATGCTAGTGTGTCATTGTGTATTAAATTTTGTGCATGATACCAATTTGTCGTGTGCCCATTATTTGTCCGCACAGTCCTCTATATATTGATGTCCTCATGTGAACGCAACTTTGTATATATATATATATATATATATATATATATATATATATATATATATATATATATATATATATATATATATATAGGGTCAGGTTCCTGTGAGGTCAGGTCTTCCCGTGCGGTCAGTGCGGCATACACCATTAGGTATGCAAAAATGCACCACACAGTGTTCGTAAATACACCATTATGTGTGGTGTATTTTCGAACACTGTATGGTGCATTTATACATACTTAATGGTGTATGCCGCACTGACCGCATGGGAAGACATGACCTCACAGGAACCAAAATCTGTGTATGCATACAAAGTTGCGTTCACATGAGGATATGATATCAATATATAGAGGACTGTACGGACAAATAATAGGCACACGACAAATTGGTATCATGCACACGATATACATACTAATGGCACACACTACATCTGTAGTCACAGTCCTCTATAATATATTGTCCTCATTATATTGTAGTATCTGTTCATATAAATCACATTTTACTTTCTCAACCTACTGAAACACAAAGAGCTAATAACGCCTCCACTGAGGCTCGAACTCACAACCTTCCGAATGGAAGTCTAACCCGGATACCACTGGACCACATAGTCCTGGTTTTTTTTGGGTATGAAGTTAATTGCATTATACACACTAGAAAGTATAGAATGTCCAAGTTCAAGGTTCATTATAAAGAATAATTTTTGGATTTTGTTGATAGATGGAAAATTGACACAGAAAGAAAGAGAATCAAAAAGTGTTTTTTGACTTTCGGTTGTGATCCTAATGGTCTAGTACTCTAGTGGGGTCATTTGTCTCCTACGATGTTGTTTTAGTGGGATCATCAATATAGATATGTGCATATATATGACATTTTCTAAAAAGATAAAATTAATATTTTGTTTTCAAATAATCTATAATTTTAAAGGAACTATTATATAAAGGCTCTGTTTGGTAAATGACTGTTAGTTATTAGTTGATTGTAAAAAAGTGTTTGATAAATTAGTTGTTAGCTGATAGCTATTTAGTATAAATTTAGTATAAAAAACTAATTGAAAAAGTTGCTTTGAGCAGCTTTTTGAATTTTAGCATTTTAGAGTTACCAAAAAAACTAATTAACCAAACACTTATATATATTGATTTTTTAACTAAGTCAAACAATTAATAGTGGTTATATAAATCAAAATTTACCAATAAACTAAGTATATTACCAAACAGGACCAAATACACACATCTCCCCTAGGTGTCCTTCCCTAGCTCGTTTATGTGTTTAGAAGTAGCGCAACACCTTTGATGCAGAAAGTAAGGAAAGAAAATTCAAAAACTTCTTTATTTTAGGCTTGTTAATGATAGAAATTTGGGAAAATAACTTCATTATAGATTTTTTTTTAATTTGTTTTTTTGTTTGTTACTTTTCATCTTTCAATTTTTTGTGAAATGACTTTTCGTCACTGAGTTCTATTATGATCGATTAAAAGACGTCACTTCAATGACAATTGGGTGACAAAAAGTAGTAATGATATAACTAAGGAAGAATAATTTGTTATTTTTCTATAATTCATGGACGAATGTGTCGTGTTTCCTAAAAATTAAATATTTATGAAATTTTTGGTTAAATTTTTTAAAGTCAATGCTAATTTATTAATATTCTAATTAATGCTAAAATTTTAATGTATGGTGTATTTGTAGTTAATTTTTAAAGGTTAATTAAAAAAGATCTTTTTTTTTTTTTTGAAAGTCAACCTGGCGGTTGTATTTATAGAAGAGTTAAAATAGAGTCTGGTGGAACATTGTTTCAGTACATAGCAGTATTGAAATTAAGTGCTGAAGTAGCTAAAGTATGAGCTAATAAATTCTGTAATCTAGGAATATAAAGCACTGAACAATAATTAAAGGCAGACATATAGGTTTTGCAACTATCGATGGCATAACCTAAATGCGAGCGTAACGTGGGTGGTGGCCCAGATAAGTAGCACTGTAACTGTTGACAATCCGTATAGATCGCTCATTCCTCCTCTTAAGCCATGATAAAGCTTCTTTGCATGCCAAAGCCTCGGCCATGAGCGGTGAGTGGCAACCTGCTAACGGGGCGTTAAAGGCGGATATGTAGTGGCCATTGGCATTGAGGAGTACCGTACCAACAGCCGCGACATTGGTTCCTCGATGATAACTCGCGTCCACATAACATTTGACGGGTGTCATCATCTCGCCAATCACGGATTCCGAAGCGGCAGCTTGCAGCGACGGCAGTCCGTTCCCGGCAGGCTCGGCCTTCGGTCCTAGCGGCGGCAGTGGGTGCTGTTCGGCAGCGACGTGGTGGCTGGCGGTCCGTGGCTGTGACGGCAAGTGGCGGTGGTGAATATTCTTCCAAGCTTTCATTGTGGCAGCCGCCACTGACAATAATTTCGTTGGTGTTGGTAGGCAGGCATCCCAAACCGCTCCGTTTCTGGCCCTCCAAAGATGGTATAAAATTGCAGCTGCATAAACAATTTCATCAAAGTCTAGAACATTCAAGATTGCACTAAACCATTCATGGAAAATATTTGTGATAATATTGGGGATTGGAAGGTTGGATTTTGCCCAAATGGAGTGTGCATAGTCACACAAAAC